AAATACAAAACTGAACAAGAACAAATCATGACAGTTATCGGTTCTTTTCAAACACTTTATCATCGTGCAGCAAAGCTTGTAGTACTAAAGTCATTATCACAAAACTACTATTATAGAACTTTGATTAGCTTGCAACAAGCAATTAATGTGTCCATAAACAGATGTAAATCTTACTTAAGGTTGGGTTTGAAAAGAAAAGGATTCATCACTGAGGCCTTCCATCCAAGCTACGATAAAGCTGACTCACAAGCACATTATACTTCCTTCTTTGCCTTAAAATAGTCCTTCTGTTATTTTCTCCCTCACTTCATGTGTTCAGATAAGCTAACTGGATGCTGGCATCACATTTACCACCATGGGTCTTAACGGTTATTTTACTTATCATCTTATCCTCGGCCAGAGGGTACACTCGGTTGTTCTCTTTAAACCTTTTCCCACCAAACTCTCTCAAGTTTAGAATTTCTCTGCAGCCACACCATTTCACACATATTGATGAGGAAGCCTTCAGCAAATGACTTTCAAGTGAAGAAAAAAAAGAAGATGCTGTGATTAAGCTCCAGTAGCTCCTGATGTATTTGCTTGTCTGACTGTATCAACAAGGTTTTTAAAGAAAACATCCCACTGTTCATGTACAGAACATGGCACACTCATAGCAAATGATGTACCTTTGATTTTATATGTATGAGTGAGTGTGTGCACATCTCAGCCCGTCTGAGCTGTCATCAGTCTGTCAAGGTAATGAACCCTACTTTACTGCAGCCTCCAACAGCTCTTTAAGGCCTACTTCACACCGCTGAAGAAATACACTCAGGTATAAGTTGTTTTGCCTGGATGGTCCGCTGGATGATGGGTGGGCGGGGATGTTATTAGGAGCGTTCATCTACAAGGCTCCCCAAGCCATACTATACTGAAACTGACCACAAGACAACCCTATCATCCTCAAAGATTACCTGTCTCCTGCACTGTATATGAATGTTTTATCATAAAAGCTTTTCTTTTTTGCTAAGTGCCTCCTTGAGTGTTTGCTTTTAACTTTTGATTACTTTATGTCTTGTTGTGAAGACGAAAAAACAAAAGGGCCCGGCCATTTGAATATAATGGACATAACGGGAAAGGTAGTCTCTGTTGCTTCATTCCAGACGATATATCACGGCAGTGTAATCCAACACAGCGGGTGCAAAATAGTTTTTCAGAAAGTGGTTGTTTCAGAGGATTGGAGTAAGCAGATTGTAAGAAGTTTTGATCTTGACATTTTGTCAAAGTGGGCCGAGCAGGTGGAGGCACTCGAGGGAAAAAACAGACATGACACAATCCTATGAATAAAATAGTACGGCAGGCTTTGTATAAGAGCCATATGTTTCCGTCTGTGAGGAAATATAGGATGTCATGCATTACAGCATAAAAAGACTCATTTACAACCATTAAAAGCGGACCAACTCACCATATCTGCATTTGATGTGGCTGACTTTTTATATGATAGCTCTCTTTTTTATATAGTCGTGAGTCATTTAGAAGAAAAAATATTTTTCTCTCATTTAGTCTAGACGTCTATCTCCCCCCCACCACCACCCTCCTGCTCCTCAAGGTTTTAACAGACGTCGCGTTGCGAGAGGGGAATGGTCGATTGCATAACGGAAGGCGAGACTTGATCGTTCCTGGCCTTCTCACAAAATTCAATCATTCTCTGCATACTCCAATCCCATGACGGCCTATTAAAGAGCAGCCCAGGCTAGGATTTCCCCTCATGTGTTTTAAATTGAAATTACGGTCACAAAGTCTGCCATATGCATGAATCGAGGAAGACAAGGAGCCTGGGGAGAAGGAGATATCAAAATAGTTCAACAGATGGAGAAAAAGAGAGAGAGGCAGGCAGAAAGATAAGAAAACTCCTGACCCTTCCTTTCGCTTTTTTTTGCTACTTGTGTAACCCTGACACCCACATTCATGTTAGGCAGTCCGTCCGCCTGTGTTATCTTAATGAATCTGTAGGAGTTCTTTTCATCAAAAGGACCAGATCAAATGTTTATTCAGTGGAAATGTCCATGAAGAAATGTTGATTGTGGACCAAACCTTGGATGTTCTCCCATATTCAGATATTAAGCCACGGTGCTTCCAAACAGCTCGGCAGCTTTTAAACTCAGCACACCATAAGTCATAGAAACTACGGGAAGCGATAAGAAGAATAGGTGAAGTATGAGACATCAGGAGATGATCACCCCAGATGTGCTTTGAGGAACCACTGGGATCTGAATCAGACTCTGACTGGCCATAAGTTCCTCATTCTTTTTCGTCCCTGTTGACTTCGGGAAGGACACACATGCTCACTCACACACTCACTCACACACTCACACACATGCACGCACGCACGCACGCGCACACACACACAACACACACACACACACACACACACACACACACACACACACACACACACACACACACACAACACACAAAGACACACTTAAGTACACTTACATGAATAAGACAGCGTCTCTGATTTAGTGCAGAGGATGTGATGCAGACAACATTCTGATGACCTGGGCTGACACCCCAGAGACATTCATTACTCTTCCACCTTACTAAGGTTTGGCAGTTGCTCCAGAGATTTTGAAAAAAAAAAAAATATTTGAGGGCAGCATCACACTGACCAAGATGTTTCTATTTTTTCAAAAGGTTCACATGAATTGGGTATACATTTGGAACACATATTAATGATGAAGGTTTTTAAGACACGAGTCAAACAGTGGATGGAACTGAAGCAAGTATGTGGGCATTGACTCTTCCCTCATAAAATCCTCATTTTACTGTTTGATGTTATTTAGTCTCTTATTTGTATTGAGTTTATAATGTCTGTATTTGTATCACTGTTTCAGTATTTCTTTTAGGCTACTGATTCTGTTTTAATCCTAAAAGCTCTGTCAGGGTCAGGGGTTGTAAATTAGCCACAGATAGATATGTCTTGTAAGCATGTCATCTACTTCATATTTTCATATGAAGCAATGTTCATTGCATGTGAAGAATAAATAAAAGACAAAAGAATAAATGAAGAATCAAATAAATAAATCATAATCCATTTTCAGCCTGGTTTTATTTTATTTGTTATTTACTCCTTTAACAAATTCCCTTCTTGTCTAAAAACCGTTGCACTACTTAAAGTGTATTTATTACAGCTTAGTGTTACAGTCTGACTCAGTTCATCATGCAGATCTTTTTATCAAACAGTGACACCTAGTGTTGAATTCAAAGATGTGCAAGGAACCAAAAGAAAGGTTCATTTCATATTACACATGCATGTGTCTGTATTGGGTGTAGATTAATTAACATAGGGACAGTCTTTCCATGGGATGAAACCAGTGAACTATTTATTTCACTTTGTTTAATTCAATCTAATATTTAAATAAAATCAATAATAGAGGTCTGCATGGTGGAACTGTAGTTAGCACTGTCGCCTCCCAGCAAGTATATTACTGGATCAAATCTCTGGTTGGACAGGGGCCTTTTTGTCTTTGTCCCACAGTTCCAAGACATGCTCATTATCTTAATCTGTGACTCTACATTGCCAGTGGGTGTGAGCATGACTGTGCATGTTTGTTTGTCTCATCATCAGCCCTGTGATTGTCATGCGACTTGTCCAGGATTTACCCTTCCTCTCACCCAATGACATCTGGAATAGTCTCCTGCCCCCGTGTAACCCCAAACAGAATAAAATGGTCTCGATATGGATGGATGAATGCTTTTGATACGATTTAGAACCACAGAGAGGCAGGAAGAGAGGGTAAGACCACATGTTACATTTTACTTTTTAAATATCACATGATTCTATCTGGTAATATTAATAGGACATGCCTTGTTTTTATCTGAGAAAACTTCACATTTAGATAATCGTCTTTGGTTTGCAAAGCCCTAAGGAGGTGGGATATTCTGTTTTTGTTTGAATTGTATTACTTTCGCACATTCGATAAAACTTTCCTCTTATCCTGCACTTGTCTGTTCTGTTGAAATACATCTGGGCACTGCACATACATGGGTCATATGAAGCTCTTAGTCTGTTATTCAAAAGTTCCCTTTTCAACTTTTTAACGTTTATATCACTTCAAACAAAACATAAAACACAACACATGTGAAATGGGCTGACAGTCTTTGGGTCATACCTTTTGTCTTATCAGCAATTCAACCCCTCTGCCTGTACGCTTTGGTATTATACCTTCTTCCCCAGCTTGTTAAGCGTAAAGTCAGTGTGTAAAGACGTGCAGTATAAGTCAATCATTTCAGGTGTTTTATTTTTAGCAATAAAACAAAAACAAGAATGTACTCATACAAAAGCTGTTTCAGTGTCTCAATTAAGGCACATTTTAAAGCCAAAAGTGCCTCTGTTCTTATAAAAGAAGCATCAATCAATAACACTTTCACATTGTGTTAACAGTTCAAGTAAACTGGCTTTGACCTCTGAATTGAGAAGGAAGTGTAATCTACTCAGCAACAAAAAAAAAGTCTAGTGCAGTCTGACACATTTGTAATTAACGTGTCATTTCAGACCCTGCTCCAAAAATAAATAAATAAACTATACCTAACACAACTCCATCTGAATCTGATAAAAGAAAACTGTTCAACAAAGAACACGGCTTACAAATTAACAGAAGTGGGCACAGTTCATTCAAATGTAACTAATTTTAATGTTAATCCGTTAACAAAGACGTTAACTTTGATATCAGTTAATCAGATCATTCTGTTAATAATTAATGGAAGTAAAAATTAACGTTGACCTTAGCCGGTAATGTCAAAAAGCAACAATGACATCATTTTTTTTGATTGCCGTTCTTAAGACTGAGAAAAGTCTCAATAACAAACATGTTTAAAACATTTAATCTTCCTATTTAAGATTAGTAATGCTTAGTTAAATCCTGGTTGTATATATTCACATTCTTAGTTTTGATATTTTTAGTGCTTATTTACTTTGTATTTAATATTATATTATGTTTAGATTTGCTAACATTGTGTTTTTTTACTCATATTGTGTGTTGGATAACCTGCTGCTGTAATGCCACAATTTCCCAGTTTGGGATCAATAAAGTAATTCTATTCTATTCTATTTTATTCTATGTCTCTGTTGAAAGTCTAAAAGTAATAGAAACTTTCATTTCTCACCCGCCCGCCAGCGGACTAGGTATGTTTACTCATTGTCAACGTCTTTTAGACTGCTGTGTATATTACCCTTACCATGCTTCCAACCGAATAAACAATTTCAAGATCTGACCAACACAGCAGCCACAATCTACGCATCTGTCAGACCACCGCCAAAACACGTCTTTCTGTTTCATACTACTCTTTTCCTTGCAATGGCAAGGGTCCCCGAGATCCAAATCCAGTAAAAGATTTAAATCAAAGACATTAAATCCTTAAAGATCCATGAATTGATTCAAAACTTCCGCTGTTTACTCTGCAAAAGTTCTTGCACGCTGACCTTTTGGCTGACACCTCATTTGACCAATCAGGAACTTCCATTTTCTGTTCCTAGGCTACTAAAGCCAATGAGAGCTTGAGGAAAAATGGTCAGCTGACTTGAAATGTCTAAGGTGGATTAAAGTAAGGAAAATGATGTTATTGGAAACTAAATTTAACGAAAGTGAAATCGTTTTTCCAATTAATTGTTAACGGATTAACAGTGTGCCCAGCTCTGCAACTTAACAGCTGTACAAAAAGTAGGAATATGTAAAGAAAAAAAACTACTGCAGTGAGTTCAGTGCTACTTAAGAAACAGCGCAAGTAATGTTTCAGAAATTGTACAACAGTGTTTACACTATAACTTAAACATACATATTCTCTACATTGGACACTTGGTATTGCAAGCATCACCTGACTTAAAAAGTCCATAGACACTGACCAATGGGAACATCGATAAAGCCCCAATCATGGAGCCCAGCTGCACTACTGCTCCACACCACACGAGGGCGCTGTGACCCTCATCCCTCAGAATCACCCCAATGATGACCTTCACATACGACAGGGACAGGACAAACAGGATCCAGGCCAGCACCTGCAACATAGAAGAGGTAAATATGATGCATAACAATCATCTCAAACTCAGTCCCTGTTATTCAGATACCACTTCACTGGATTGAGTGCCCCCTGCCTCTCTTTAAAAGTCTCAATCCTTGGATGTTTATATGTGAATGTGTATGTAGGCCTACTTGTATGTGTATTGGTATGCCTATCATGTCATGTGATATTACCTTGTTTATTTCATATTATATCCCAACCAATTATATCACACGTTATAACCTGTTTTAAGTAGACTAATAATTAATACTCAACATTTTACATACATATCTACAATGTGTAATATTACCCATACTACATGCCCACATCAATTCTGCTCACCATTAAAGATGGGGACAGGAAGTTTTACTCCATTAAAAAAAAAACTGAATTGGTTCACCAGTTAGTTCCTCATCAAAGGTGGAAGCGCTGCTGTACCAGCTTGTGAAATAAGCCATGGCAATAGCTAGCTGCTGTTTCTGGATCATGATTACTGATCAACATCCCATTAGTATTGTGCTAATAATATTATCTAACTTATTTTGCTTCAACAGTTTTGTCTCGTAATTAAATTTTCTGCTGATCCCATCGATTAAGTCATTCTGCATTCTTTTTCATTCAGTAAAAACAATTTGACCACAGAAATACAAAAAGTAAATACAAGACTTATGGGAATATTCATCATTTTATACTGTATATATAAATCAAAAGGTCTATGATGTTGAATATGTTACTATGGGAAAATAAACGAGTACTAATAAATATGCATTGAAACATGGTTTGACAGTATTGTCTTATTGATAAAAATTGATTTTCAAATTTGCCAACCACAAGTCCTGTTTGCAAGCTAGAACTTTATTTTAAATGTAACTGCTTCTAATTGATCATACAACTTTATCCTGATACATAAGAAACAGTCTTACTATGACTACAGTTCCAGAGGGACTGTGGACCAGTAGGGGGCAGGGACTGAGAGAAGCCATGGCCATGATGTAGGCTCCAAATCCAGTCCCAAACATGGTCAAGAAACCCATGAAGAAGAGAGACCTAAAAACAAAAATCATTACAAATTGTACAGCTTAACATTTCCTGGTATTTGGCACAACTTTTGCTACAAAATGCTTCCTTACATTAATTCATTATTGTTAATGGGAAGAGATGGTTTCAGGTTATCCGTCTTACCTAATTGGAACAAACATGGCGATGAGGCAGGCCACAGGGTTAGCAACAGCCGCCATGGTGGCAGCAAGATGGTAGGCCTTGTTCCCATACGGCAGACAGGAGTAGGACTGGATTGAGGGTAGCACTGCATTGGTCAGAGCATTGACCCAGGCAAGTACAATGAATATGAACAACACCTCCAGGCTACTATATGTCCCCATCCAAAAAGAGCTCCTGGGCTCCCTCCTGACTGCTTCCAGGGGGCTGATCATGGGCTTCTGCTCTGGTGTCTGGGCGTGCAGAGACAGACCTTGTTCCCTTTTCTCAGGAACCAGATCACCACTGAAGTACAGGTCATTCTTCCTCTCCCGAGCCACAGCAGGGTGATAGTTTAGCAGGATGAAGGCTACCATGCAAACAACCATCATCACGCTGAGGAACACAAAGAAGACCTGGGCGGAGAATTTAGCCGGCTGGTAGATGGCTTTTAGCTCTCCACTGCCAAGCATAGTTGCATTCACAAGTGTTTCGTTAGCAACATTAACCAAAGTGACATTCTGACAGTGGACTACACCAACACCTTGAATCAGAGCCACCACTGCAGGCACCAGACCACTGAGGCCTTCGCCTGCAAAGTACGTAGTGAGGTACTGTGGACGCAGCCTCATCATGAAAGGCAGGAAGGTAACAGAGGAGGTGCAGTCAACAACAGAGAGCAGGAAGCTTAGCACCAGCAGGGGAACGCTGTGAAAAGAGCCCCCGATTGCGACTGTGTGCTTCCAGAAGAAGGCCAGCAGGAATGTCGCAATCACCCCCAACCCTACGATGCAGTATATGACCGGCCGCTCGTCTAGTGTACCAGGGCGGAAGTGGTGCATGAGAGTGATGAAGAGTGGACCTATGTTGGCCATCTGGATGAGGACTGTGAGGTAGGATGGCAGAAACCAGCCCTCTGGGATCTCTGGTACGACCAAGGGTAGCTCCACCCACATCCCGTTGATCGCCACCCAGGAGCCCATCCCGAACAGGCAGGCCAGCACGTGAGTCAACAGCGACATGATGGAGTGATAGTAATGGAATGAGGTAACTCAGGAAATCTAGATCTAAACAATCTGAAATACAGAGAAAAGCATGGTGTAGTTTTATTAGTAGAATGAAAAACTTCATAATATAAAAATGAAATAATTTATCAAATTCCCAAAATGAGCTTTAATATGAGATAGGTGTATTAGGACTAAAATATTACTTCAGTGTTTGTGCAAATTCTGTCTCAGATATTTTAAAACTGGAAAGAGGGGGAAAAGGGAATTCTTTCTTTTACAGTCTTAGCCTAAACATACCTGACATGCATTTGGTTTTACTAATAATCCATCTACAGTATTGGTTGTTGGGACAAATCTTCTGGACCGATAACAACATTACTATTTCTTAATCCTCACCACTAGCATGGCTAAACAAAACAAAATCAAGTGCCTTTCAGCTGATCTTTGCTTACCTCATTATTGAGGAAACTTGGGGGAAACAAATGTAATATGCATAGCAGGGGATGAATGCTGCACATTTGTTACTGTAGCAAAGCAAATTACCCATGTGACTGGAGTTGACCTTCAAAGTCTCCCCTTACTCTACCTCTTGTTCTTTCATTCTCTCGTGTACTATTTGGCACTGGTTACCCGACCTTTCACTTACTGACACACTGCTCCTATAAAAAGCTCCATGTGGTCGTGACATAAACAGACACATTACAGGGACGTGTTTGTAAAGCCGTGTAATAAAACTACATCACAACTACTGTCACAATGAAGGACTAGCCCTACTTCAAACCATAAACAAACAGTCAACTGTCATGTACCAACATACTGTAAAGCATACTGCTAATATGGTACTGATGCAAAGGTTTTCTGAGGACTCAGAGTGGGACAGGGTCGAGAAGATTATCTAAAAAGAGACATTAAAAACAACTTAGTGTTTTTAATAGATGCCCTATGGATTCTTAGGGTTAGGGTTAGGGTTAGTAAGAGTATCTTGTTCTTATTATCTTCACAAGCAGGCATGTGTAACAGTAGTATTAGGAAACTCTAAAGTTGCTATGAAGGCAAACGGTTAAAACTTCCTGTTCCTGCTTTTATGTCTTCAAATCAATCTTTGTATCTCTCCAATATACGAATCAAACACACGAGCATAGACTTGATCCTGGTGTTTCTAGGATCACCAGGAAACCTAATACTCTGTAGGCCTACATACCTTGTATCCACAGTCCTACAATATTTCATCCTACCTTATTCAGAACATCGCAAGGAAGAGCCTGATCCCCCCTTCCTTCTGTCCATTCAAAAACCCTCACACCATCGTGATCCGTTTTTTCTTACATCAGCCACAAGTATGTGTTTATATGCCTTCCCTCCCCCTTTTCTCCTCTATTCACACTTTACTTAAGCTCACACTCTGCTTCCGTGTCCCTGTGCTGCTCTTGTCATGGGAGGGACTGCACACGCGCACATGCTCCGCACCACCATGACACTGTGAATGTGCTCCTATTGGAGGCCTGTTTCAAACTCACACAGCCATGTGCTCATGGTCTGCCAGGGGCTCGAGCAATAGGAGGAAAGAGAGTAAGGGAGGAAGCCTCAGAGAGCTTAGCTCCTCCTTTTGCTCGTCCCTCCCCCAACCAGCACTCAACCTTCATGTGGTCTGCACTCCTAAACAAACATGCTGCACTGTCAGTGAGAAGGTTAGTTACACACTCAATGAATTTATGCACTATACATATAAAAAAACATACAAACCTAATTTTTCTTTGTACCTTGGTGTATTTATTTTACACCAGCAGTTCTTTTACATTCAGGTTGTTGGTTTGCATTTCACATGTCTTAGGTGTAAATAGAATTACTCAACTAAGAATACCAGTTTATCATGTTCAACTTAGACAACACCCACATGACATTGCAGTTTGGATTTTGCAATCAGCTAAATGGTAAAGGCTCATATTTAACAGTATGTTGTGTCTTTAAACTACCTTTAATACTACAGATTAAGAGGCAGACACTCCACCTTTGGATTGTGACATTTTACACAGCAAAGTGCAGTGATTGTTTTGCATCAGCAACATCTCACGTTATGCCCAATGCTTTTGTAAATGTCACCAAGGCCACCCATAAGGCGCCTGCATGGAGGGGGCCCATGGAGGTTAGCAAAGGCACTGTTCATCCTAAAACATCAATCAAACTAAATTGTATTTTAGAGCTACAGTAACACATCGTTACTTATTAAAGTAACATAAAGACGCATTTTATTGTTAGTTTCCTGTTACAAAATATACCTCTCTTCTTAAAATGGTATGAGCCTATAAGCTTTTTTTTTTGTAATGTTAACATTGTGTGTGGGCCTGTTGAACAAAAGCTGATCGGAGCCAGGTAGAGGATGCTAGCCCAAACGATATCGCTAATGCTACTGGTCCACTGGCACATGTTGATATTATCAAATGACATCTGAGGAGGGCCCAATTAATGGACCTATCAGGGGCCCAGTCATTTCATTTGGACAGGCCTGATTATCATCAATGATATTTTACATTTATTAAAGATACTGAACGAGGCTGACAGAACAGCGGCAGGACACATCAGGACTCTTTCTACTAAACCAACATACAGAGAAGTAGTGATTGGTATGTTTCTAAATGTTCTGCAAGACTTTAGGTTGTGTTCTCTTAGCACCTCCATGAGGTCAAAAACCACATGATAGTGCTCCTACAGCGACCTTTTCTACGGCTGAGTAATTTTCTCCTACATCACAGCAGCAGTATTATCATCCTTTCATTTAACCTTTATTTAAATCTTGAACATCACTGAAAATGAGGGCATGCCCCTCATTTCCATTGATGTTGAGAGTACATCTAAACAGAATACATGTGCTCAAAGAGAATAAATACAAAGAATGGCAACAACCCAATTAAAAACATTTACATTCAAAGGCACAGCAGTTTAAGATCATAGTTTTAAATTGGCCCATCGGAGCGAGTGTGTGACGTTTGAATGCCTGTTGTAAAGTGTTCCATGTGAATGCAGCACAGAAGCTAAAAGCAGTTTTACCAAATGTTGTTAATGAAGTGTTTGCCCGTGCAGAACTTCGAGCTTCAGCCGAATATTGAAACGTGTTGAGTGTTGACGATGTGACTGGTTTAACAAAGAAGTGATATTTTGTCAATTAAGGCTTTATTAATACAAAAAAAACAGTGCCTGTCATGTATCACTGTTGTGTGGAGTAACTGTCACCTGTAATGAACCTGAGGGTATATTGTTAAATGGAGTTTAGGGGGGTCAGCGTTGAGGCAGAGGTGTTCTGATAGACAATGTTACGATAATCCAAAAAAGCATCAATGATCCGTTTTCTGCTGACCTTTAGGAAGTTAACGTTGTTTCGGAGGAATCACATTTTTTAACGTAAGGGTATGAATGTAGAATTTAAATGTACGTTTTTTGATTAAGCAGGCACCAAGATATTTGTATCCTTTGTCTCTTAGGTTAAAACATTTTAAGTAGAACGTCTTCAAAATGTTGGGATTAATTTACGACAAACATCCTTAAGATATTTTGGCCCCTGAAAAAGTAAACGCTTATTTTTTATTGTACCTTTGTTTATCTATTTAGAGCTATACATAAGGTCAACATTAACACTTTTTTCTTATATTTCCTATTTTTATTTATTAGCGAGTCAGCGTAATTTTTTTTAAAAAGTCTTAAAGATGTACAAGAATGCATCTTCTGCATTCTCTCATGAATTTGAGATAAAACCGTGGACAGACAGTCAAAGCAGAACCTTTCTCAAGGTTATCAACAACAAAAGAAATCTGCCAGCACAAGGCTGAGAAAGTAGGAGGAACGATCAGCTATAGTAGACCACTGCAGAGTGTACATTATAGGCATAGATTTGTCTTTCTTAATCATGCAAATTAATTACTAGTGACTATTCTGCAAAAAAATGTAATGTAAAAAATGTATGTAATTTACAATGTTTGAAATATTTATAAAAATCACACATTTTTAAATACTCCTATAATATTTTAGTGATATAAATTGGTTATAAAGGTCATATTTGCCTTTTCTTCTATTATGAAATGATTCATTTACAATAAATGCTATAAATATTTGCTTATTCCTGCCGATATCTCATTGATCATCATGTGGTTACATAAATGGTAAGGAAAATCTCAAAATTAGCTTTATTGTACTTTATTAGTTGATTATAAGTGTTTCTAAAACTCCACAAAAGTATTATTATATGACACGTTTCCTCTTCTAGACTAAACAACTTAACTTAAACCACAAGGCACTGAATTTCTTGCTACATTTTTGATGGCCTTAATTCATCATTTTTTATGAGCCAAGAAACCACCTACCTGCCCGTCGGAATGGTGAAGTGAAGCCCAATCTGGTAAGAAGTTGCACAAGTGCAGCGATGCTTCTGTGCTGAGAGTTATTATTGGGATGCGTAACAGCACAGTGGCCTTCTGATGTTTCTGTTTTATGCACGCACACTGAGAGCAGCGCTTGTACTTTACTACTCTGGGTCTTACAATCTGTGTCATGTGACTGCAGAGGGCTGAGCCAGGGGTCCGGTTTGGGAAACTGAAAACCTCAGCAGCAGGGGTGGGTGCTAGAAGGTGAATGAGGAAAGAGGTGTAGGAATGAAAGACAATGGATCAAAGACAGGTGTAGCATTGAACATGTTGGTGAGAAAGTATCAGACTAAACCTGATGAGTTTACAACATTAACATGATGCCTCTCTTTTTTTAGAGAGCGCTGACACAGTGGGCAGCTTAGCCAACCAGAAGATGACTTTGGACAGCTATGGTGCTTTCTGAGTGGGTGATTGGTCGAGGTCAGTCCGGCTTTTGTTGAGCACAAATTCCAGCCCAAACGAATGACCCCCGTGGAGCACCAACTAGTATTACATCAGAGTGCCCTTGCACCCACGTCTGCCTTGTACCCTGACTGGAACTAAATGTTCGCTTCTTGAACAATAAGAACATTTCAGACTGATGACATTCAAGCTAATTATTCTGGACTCAGTAAATTAAAATGTTTTTGCACATTTTTCTGAAAGTGTAATTAAGGTTATGGTTGTGTAACAAAGACATTTTAACCATGGACTGTCCCCAAAATATTTCTGTTCAACTTGACTGATTGGTACAGGAAAGTTATTATTGCTCTTATCTGTATTATTGTTTTTAAATGAGCCTTTGTCATGTTTTAAAAAAGGTGAATGTCATTGTGGTAACACATTGTTGTCATCAATTTAAAAAGGATGAGACAATGGTTTTAAATTGGTACTCTTAACACAAACAACGTCACAGCAAGTTATTTAACCAACATGAGCTACACTATTGGTTAGCTAGCTGTTGCTACATACTAGCAAACTAGCTCTAGACAACAATACTCACAACATTCATGCTTGCTAGGCCTATGTCACAATGACAACATATCTTGGCATACTTGAAGGCTGAATATCTCTGGGCAGATTTCATATGACTTTGTCCAAGCCATTTTATGTGCTGCACATTTATATTTGGACATGTTAGCTAAAATCAACTCTCTTTTAAGTTATTAACCAAGTTTAGCAAAATGATCTGTTTCAGTGACTTTAAAACTGCGTCCCCATTAGCTCAGCTACTTGAGTGGTCTACATACAGAGTTGCAACTGATGGTTTATCTGTTAAAGAAAGAATGTGTGACTTTTGGATCCAGTAGATTGCTATTGAGCAGCAGCATTAAACCACTGCTGTAATTAAAAACCATTAAGCGCAAGCAGCGGACAAAATTGTCCTTTGCTGGACCTGCAATTTGCCGTGGCTTGCATGTTTGTGTTAGCAGGCTAATGTTTTTGTCTAATGTGTCTTTTCTCTCGTCCTTGACCTCAGTCCTCAGCTTTATAGTAAGGATGTGATTTAAATATGGCTCCGACAACAGTACAGCCAGTGGGACTCGCACTTCTCACTCATTCATATAAAACAGCATAGAAATGTCTGACTTCAGTTCAGCTAATCTTTGCTGATTTCATGACCTCTTTTCTGAAAAACAACATCAACTGTAAGCAAGAACTCCCAGATCTCTAGTCAAAGGATAATGTTTTTATAAAAACTCAATCATGCGCAGGCTGATCCAGTGACCTGGAGTCAGGGTGAATATTTGTGCAGAAGTACAATACTCTGCTTTCTGTCTCTAAACTGCAGGGCTCTGTGTTTAAACAAATATGTCAATGTTTTTGGTACTGAGTGTACAGTCCAAGTGAGACTGAAGATTCACTTGTTTAAGTCAGCAGGAGGAGAACTCGATCTAGGTATTCACAGAGGCTACCTCTGCCATTCAGAATTTATCATTAAATATGATACAAAATACAAGACTACATACACCTGACCTTTATCCTTAATCTTTTTTTTATAACCTGTGATGCACACTGCTTTGGTCCAAATTCTTCAAAATTCGGTAAAAAGCAGTTTCAAGAAAAATGAATGAAAATCTTTGCATTCTTGCAATGGAAGAAACTTTTAATGTAAATTCAAAAATCATTTTTCAGTCTTCCAACCACTCAAAGCACTTTTTCACGACATCTTTAACACACACATGAACACACTAATGTCATAGGCTGCACTAAAGTGTTGATTTGCGCATGATGTCTTATCTAATCATTCACATAACTTCACACATCAGTGGCTCTACCTTTGCGGGTAATTTGGTGTCTTGCCCACTTCGACATTTTGACCACTGGCTGGGAAATGAACCAACAACCTTTCAAATTTAAGAGATGACCTGATGTTCTAATGCGCCACAGCCAATGTCTTTTTGATCTCAGTTACACAAACTGCTCAGATCAATATGCCAATGTGTAAGTCTTTCACACGGTTGAAGTCACACAGAAAAATCACCAGACTCTTATTCCTGAGAGTTTCACAGCTTCCTTTTGGGGCTTTGTTTTGGTGTTCTTACTGTTTGTTTAAGTCTCACTGCTCTAAAAGTATCTTAGAGCCAAAACAGGCTCCTACCAGGTGACCAGAAACATGGCTTCAACGTTGTTGAATCTGCTGTTTTTTTAAAAGGCCAGAGTTTGTCACCAACCGTACCATAACAAACTTTATTTATCTTTTTAAGACATACCTTGGGCGTTTTATCCCTTTATTGTGAGACAGGACAGTGGATTGAGTCTGAAATCAGGGAGAGAGAGAGAGTGGGGAATGAAATGCGGCCAAGGAGCCACAGGTCAGATTCAAACCTGCTTTGAGGACGGTAGCATCTGTACATGTGATGTGCGCACCAACCACTAGACCACAAGCGCCCTACCTTTACAACATTAATATATATAAAAATGTACAGTATATTGCTCATAACTACGCAACATAAAAATGTGAAAGTGGCTGCCTGCAGTAAAGCTGATAAGTTAATTTTAAGTTAACAACTTTGTTTCCTCTATGTCCAAAATAATTGCACCAAAAAAAACAACAATGAACTGAGCGTGTTTTATGTTTTCATTGTCATGTGCAAATCTGCAGTGTAGTGCATAAACCACCATTCATCAATATGCCAAATATTTTTTTAATTTATTACAAAATGATTTCTTTTTTCGTACAAGTGGACGTAAAATTATTAGTGACATTCCTCTACAGATTTCCCTAGTTAGACATTAGAAAGAGTGCTGGGTATAGAAACATTTACAGTACAGAAAGATCAGGGTGCATAGCAATAGAGGAGAAATCTGGCCTTTATATTTTTACATTTCAGCAAAAATAAAAAATAAAAAAAAATAAATCAACCTTCTGTTAGAGCAACACAGAGAGACGGGGAAAAGGTAAATCATCATTTAAAAACGTATTTGACTTTTACAAAATCTTTTTTCGACAACTGCATAGACCATTATGCAACCTGTAACATAGAAGCTACTGTCTCCACTGTCAGGAGGATCTAGTACAAACGTTTACATACAAAAACAGTAACTTTACATGAAGCTTATAAATGAGAAGTTTACAGTAATACCACAGCATCACTGAAGCCTGTACAGCAGACTGAAAGTGGAGCTGCAGCTTCTTCTCTCTAAGGAAAATGCTTTTTTTTTTTTTTTTTTTTGCTGAAGGGATGCATAATGGGTATCTTCAAGATCATGAGAAAACCTCTTAAAAAACACATTTAAATGTTTATACAAAATGTATTGTGAGAATTTCCGAATGGATTGGAGGTCAAAGACAAAAAAACTCAAGACTGAAATACAGGAAATTCAAAATATACTGCTTTTGGTTAAAGTGGCTGGTAGGGAGAAACAATGAAACTATAAGGTCGATTTAACTGAAAAACGACAAAACTTCAGTCATCTCCAGTGCATTCTTTTGTTCTTTTTCTTATTCATGACAACTGCGATCTTAGCAAAATGATTCATCTACAGTAGTTGGACACATAAAAGTGCATTTTTAAACAAAACTTTCCCAGGAAGTACAGTGTTATGACGTAAACGAAAAAACTACATTTTCACAGTAATGTTCCATAAACATACGTACATCCAGAAGCACAAAAAAGAAAAAAACAAATCCTGAGAAAATAATCTCTACAAATCAACAATGACTTTGTTGAACTTCAGTGCATCGCCCATTACACAATCTCCAGTGTTTATAACAAACGTACAGAAAAGAAGCATACAAATACACAATAAAGTGAAAATATGGAGGCAAAAAACAAAACTGTGGCACTGCCAACAATGTCAACTTCATGAACTGAAATGAAAACAGTAATTATCACAATGTTGAAGGACATCAAGCTGTAACCTTCACATCCTTGTGGTTTTGGTATATGTTTGTTTGTTTTTTGGAAGATATCAGACAGCACAATGTACAAATGCCTTCTACCTGTAAGTCACTGTTCAATCAGTTTCCCCACATCACTGCCCATGAGCTTTTGTTCTCAGGGTTCTCGTACCTTCTGACTTTTTCTTTACAACCGAATAAAAATAAAAAGCAGGAAAATCAATATTTGATAGAGCAAGACTCTGGCCCTCATGCAATAAGCATCCATGCAGAACTTGTAATCCCTACTCTCTAGGCAATCCGATATTTCTGTATGAAATGCAACAAGGAATAAAAAGAAAATCTTGATTTGCATCTGGATAGACCTCGTCTTTCTCCACTCAGAGGGGGGATTCATCTGTACACAGGGACCCTTTAACCTCTGGTGAACTTTGTGATACTTTTCTGTCATTGTTCTCTTCAGATGTGACTGAAGTGTTGCCATTTGGCCCCCTGTATCACGTTGCTTCCTCTTATCATTGTGTTTCGGGGGCCCCAAGGCGGTGTTTGGGTTCAGCACTGCAGCATACACGTGGTGCTCAGGGGCAAAGGTCATCATGTGGGTAACCTCTCAGCTTCTTCTGGGGGATGAGATGAAATGAAAAAAGGGACAGGGTTATCTGACCAGCTAAGTTCTTTACATTTGTACATTTTCAATGAGACAGCAGGATGCATGATAAAAGCATGATTGTTAACCTGATGGTGAGGGAGAATTGTCCTCCCCTGTTGTGACAAACTGTAGATCGGAGCCCAAAGCAGCGATGGAGCTCCGGGGGCGGATGCAGCGGTCACCTGAGAAACTTCTGCGAAGTAATGCCTGGAGCAAACATGAACCATCAGATTAATCAGTTGTTAAATATGTGAAATTCTACATTTAGTTATGTCAGGAAAGGGGGGGGGGGGGGGTGCAGGTGCGGCAATATGCAAGTAAAGGCTGCAACTCTTCTCAGTGATGATTTGGTGAGTTAATGACAATCTATTGTTGACAGAACACATTAATATCAAAACTCTACATGTAGCACCAACTGTCAGTCAATAAATTAAAAAACACAAAAACAGAAGAGAATGTCGCTGTAGCCTGTTTGAGCAGCACACAGTCGTACTTGTCTTGCCTTGCGGGTCATGGGGCTGGTGGGGGCGGAGGCACTGCTGTAGAGGCTGAGGCTGGAGTTTGACCTGCTGACAGTCAGACCTTTTGAAGAGCTTCCAGCAGGGGACAAGTACTTCTCCTTGATCTTCAGGTTGGTCCTGCCCTTTACTGTTGAAGGGACATTTAACAGGGTGCTGTGTGTAGATAATAAATGCTTTGACTAGCTCTTATAGATGCAAGAATGCTTACTCATTTTAGAATCAAGGCAATGAATACCTAACCTTAAAAATACACCAATGTTATACATATATTTTTTTTTATTATACTGACATGGCACAAACGAAAACACAGAACCATGATATAAATTGAAATGTTTTTTGTACATAGAATGATGAACTTAGGAGAAAGTACAAACTATTTGGATTAGTATGTTTAATGGAGCAATATGTAACTCTGACATGTTGCATTTAAAACTGATACTGCAGTCCAAATTCAAAACATTGGAGAGCGCTGTCTCTCCTGCCCCCTCCTCCCTAGAGTCAATGCGCATTCAGGTTGCCATGTCGCAGACACGGAAGCTTCAGTGTTTAGCCAGCTGTGCAGTCTGCAAACCTTTCTGCGGTCTGCCAAGGTAGGTAAGATAGAATCCATTATCTGAACCAGTTTGCTTGCCCTCTTCTATCGCTCCAAGACCTGTTGGTTCTCCGTTTGCCTGGCAAACCAAGGGGTGTCCAAAACGGCCATGTAGCGGTTAGCCTTTAGCTTCTCTGGTCAAAACAAGTACTGACCGTTCAGAACTAAAATCAAAACTTGCTGCATTGTTGTCAGAGATGCCAGCACTTCAACATAGCATCTTTCCTTAATGTCTAATCATATAGTAAGGTGATTGAATTATTTAAATCAGTAGACATCTTATATATTGCTCCTTTAAAGTATGTGGCTAAACAGCATGCGTCACTTTTGGTAACTGCAAGCCCTACTATACTTGTCTGAACACTAAGTGTGCTGTTTTACATGTAGTTTGTAGGATGTATTTTGGGGTATGCGTGACTGACCTCTGCAGGGGTCATTCTTTACCAGGAACTCATCTAGAGCAGTCCAGCCTCCTCCCACTCTGACCATCAACGTGCTGCGCAGGATGCGAACCATGCGCAACTGCTGGGAATCTCCGAACTGCAGCAAACACACAGAATACATCATTTAATCCACAGGTTTTTTTTTTTAGATATCCTTACTGTTGCATCTTTACAATTCACTTCCAAGATTTCACAAATGTTTCCTTAGGCATTGTCTTTTACACACACAGGGATTATACATAATATCTCTAAAAAAATAATAATGTGTAAACCCCATCAGTGAGAAAAACACATTCAAGTCTATTAAAATGGCTCACCCTGTATCTATTGGCACTTATTTGCTCCACTTGAAACCTCTTGGGGCAGTTACACTGTGACACCTGTCGGCTCACCTACAGGAAAGACAAAATAACAAGACGTCTGAGTAAATTTCACAATACATTAAGCACTATAATTCATCATATGACATTTATAAGTGCTGTCCCATCATAAAAACTGTTCATACCTCTTCATTGATTTGATCTGCATCCAGTGTTTTCCTGTATGGATCTCTGCTGGGGTGTAGCGCACTCACAAACTCATAGTAGTCGATGAAGCCATCACTGTTAATGTCGAAGATGTTAGCAACCGCGTTCATTTCCAGGGAGTTGGTTGGGAATTCTACAGAACATATGGAGGTTTTACTATGACTATGGAAATGGTCTTGTTACAGAATAATTGATACATCTCATTTAGACTCATTTGAGCATTTAAATGTATGATTTTTGATTGTGTCTTTTGGGTTCTAAAGTCATTCAGAGTGTGTGATACATGCATGGAAACACTGGACCAGGATATGACTCGTTGTTCTTACTGGAGGCAAGGACATAATCAACAAGCTCTTTCTGGCTGATGCGTCCGTCCTGGTCCCGATCAATGCTGCGGAACACGTCCAGGATCCGCGACTTCAAATGACTGATCCACTGCATGTAGCGCTTTCGCCAAATATTGAAGTCAAAGTTTGCAAATTCCTCCATCTGTCGAATGCAAAACAGCACAACATATTTACTGTTTGTAACATTGAACAGTGGAACTTTCTTTAACATATCTGTTGTTTTTAAAATGGGTTAATTCTGCAAGGACAATAACCTCTTTGAGCATTTGCTGGTGCTGCTCCAGACGTGTTTGTCTCGCCACAGCCAGGAGCCAGACTTTCTGCCACTGGCGGACCAGCTGACTGAGCTCTGGGGTCTGGGGGTCAAGGTGCTCCAGGGGAACAGGCACTACAGGCGGGAGCTTCAGAGTGCTCCTCCTCTCTAGATAGAGAAATAGCAACATTACACATTCTGCTTACCAAACTGTGAGCCGCATCATATGCAGGGATTAAAACAATGACTTTTGGCGTTTATAACAGAAGTGTGGCTTACTTGTGAGTGGACGTTTGCTGGGTGAGATTTGATGCTTAGGGATGCTTTTGTGTTTGCAGGACTTTGTGGCATGTTCAACCTCTGGAAACTTCTTATTCAATTCCTCCATGAAAACCTGCTGCGACAAATGATCATTGATGACACGGACCAGCAATGATGTGATTTAATTCTCTGTATATGCTCGATAGTCTGGTAATATTGTAATATAGGGGAATTATACTAAGAATGATTCAAGGAAGATTTAGAAAATATATCTGTATAAAGAGAAGTTCCAATAAGTCAAATGAAGGAAAATAATGTGTTGATTATGGCAATTGCTCTCAACTGGTGGGTTGGGCCCAAAAGTGGGTCGCGGAGCTGTATTCAGTGGGTCGAATGTGTGTGAGAAAAATGCTGTCAAAAAGTCTATTCAACGTTTTTTTTCACAAGTTGGAATCGTTCTGTTATTTTTGTTCTGTCACGATTTGCACCGTCTGAAATCCAAACTGCACAATTTTTCTGTAAATAAATCTGATTGATCAAAAAAAAAAAGAAATTTGGTCATGATTTTTCATGAAGGAGTGGTTGGTGGGTCCTGAGGCTTGACCAGTTGAGAACCACTGAGAATAATATGAGTTGACTTATTTGTCCAGCTAACAAAAAATTATCTGCACATATTACCACTCCTCAGTTTGTAGCATAATTGAAGAGTGGTCTGCATTTGACAGAGAAGATGAAATATGGTATAGAAGGGGGAAAAAATAGGTTTTAAAAAATCGTACTGTATGCTGTTCTATCAATTCTTGGTTCTGCTCCGTGGTCTCGGGTAGTGGCTCCTGTTCTCTGAGGGTGAGGGATTCCTCTGCTGATGAGATCCAGTCCAGCAGCCTCTGGACCTCCTCTCTCTCTGCCTCCAGTGCTGCCAAGCTGGCCTGGATCTTCTGGCCCTGCTGCTGAGCCCAGGTCTGAACCTGACACAGGAAATAAACAAGGTGAGTGAACTGCATGGGCTTCATTCAGATTTCCTAAAATGCTGACTCAACAGTTTCACCAATTGCGTAAGCATTTGAGATCCCTAACTGATGGCAATTCAGGGTACCCAAAATTATGAATTATATAATCCAGTACCTATATCCGTGAACACTCACCTCCTCATAGCGAGTCTTGGTGACACTGATCCAGGATTTTAAGGTGATTATAGAGTCTGGGTGACAGGAGGCCAGGATCTCTTCACCCAGACACTGAATGTTCTGTAAGTCCACAGCCTGAGCCTGCAGGGCACTCATGGATTCCTTAATAGGATCAGAAAAAGGGTTTAATGAACATTTAAATCAGTAAAACATTCTCACGCTGGATGAACCATTAGCTTAGCAATAATGTAAAATTTCACTAATTTCAGAAATTTTTCCTTTGATGTAGCTTAAGATGAGAAGATCAAATGCTGTTTTAATGTTTTAATGTTACTACTTTGTTGGGTAGGGAGAAGGGACATAGTCCAGATTTGTTAACCAGTTAGCTACCCTTCAACAGTAGCCAAACTTAATATTCAACTAGCTAACATTACGTTAGCTAGAAATTTAACTCAGATGAAGCATTATGTTAGCTTTATCCTATTGCATCGTGAAACACTACAAAAAGGTATTATAAGCCAATTCTTAGCTTACTGATTTTTTTATGTATGAAGCTAAATGTATCTGCTGTGTGACAGTAGCTAACAGCTAATCAAATGTGTCGTTTCCTGTGAAATATAGCTGAATGTTCCTCTTGGATTGTATTATCATGATTCATTGTCTTTTTAGCTGCCATTTAAAATAACCACCGTGTGAACATGGTCAGCTACAACCCCTTGTTGTACCAGTTCATTGCTTTGTGCTAAACATAGTGTCAAATTGTCAAGGATCTGCCTCAGGGAATGATCCCACATCAAAGTGGTTCAATCAAAATAATTTAAAAAATACAAAACTCTGGTGAATGTGATTCAAACATTAAAAATCTGTATTTGTGTTCAAGGTGAAAATAAGTGTATAATGTATAGGCCTACTAAAGATTTCAGTTTACAAACTATTAAACATCTGTTTAAATAGATTAGACTTTTATTTGTACGTTTGCATGTAAAGTGTTTTTTTCTGCAGCACCTATGCTACAAAAATATTTAGAATCTCCCTCAGTGGTTTTCATTACCTTTGTCTTAAGCTTGGTCATCCTATCCTCTGATTGGTTAGTTTAGAGACATGCTTTCTGCTCAGAAAATTATCTGTCTACATCCAACTGTTTTTCTTAAGTCCAGTGATCCAACCACCACACATTGAACCCTAATATTACACATAATTCAGATCACAGCTTGCAATATTTCTTGGAGAAGGCATAGATATCCCTGAAGCTATCGAATTAATTAACAAACAACTTAAGCTAATATGAAAAATAAAGAAGACACATCTACAAGATCTTGTGAATAATATCCAAGTTTCCCAATATTATGCTACTTCTTGTTATTACATTTTTTAGCATGCATTCAGTCAATTCATTAACAAAAAGGTTTCTGTTATATGACCCCACTATTAGTCCTTCAAACAGGTTGAATGGGTTCAAGCATGAGTTTGTGCAACACTCGCCCTTTTGTAACTGCCACTAAGCCAGACACTGAACCTTATCAACACTAACCTGTTGTTCTGTTTCAGACCGTGACCCCTTGACCTCCCCAGTAGCAAAAAAAAGATAGGGTGTATGCATTTCCCCCATAGAGTGTGATAAGATATCATCTTATACTGACCTTGTGCTGTTTGTGGAAGGCGAGCAAGCCTTCCTCCTCCTCTGGTATGACCCCATACTTAAGTATCCTCTCTGCCTCAGTGAGATGTTCCATGAAAGAGTGGACAAGGCCGTTGAACTTCTCAGCCTGACGAGAACAAAGACATGTTTTTAGATAAGTGTAGGGAAGTGGTTAATTACCTTTTTTTTGTTAATTGTTATAAAAACAGCCAATAAGATGCCATTGGCTATATTCTGATATAGGATACAGCTTACATTTATTTTTGCTAATGTTCATTTGAATTTTACTAACAAGGATATTTTCCTATAAGGAGACTTGTGGTTTGTCCTGATTTGTAATTTTTCAGAGGAAATGGTGAAATGTAAAGCCACCGTCAGCATTATTTATTGCAGCTTCCATAAGGACAACAACAATGAAATAATATAAAAGCTCATTTCATCTTCTACTTTATTGTAATACCTGCTGAAGTGCAGCCTCCAGCCTGTCCTGCTTGCTGACTGACAGCTTGCACACAACTTCCCAGCGGCCTTCCAGCTCATCCATCTGCTCCTGCAGCCAGTGAGCATCAGCTGTGCTGCTCCTGGTCAGATCTCTGACGGAGCGTTTCAGGGTTCTTATGCATCCAGCTCTCTTCCCCAGCTCCTTTTGGAAGGCCTGGGTTAAAAAAAAAATAATAATAAATTAAATCAACTACATTTAAAGAAATTATAAACAGCTTAAAAGATGAATTCATCACTGAATATCCCATTACGACATCCATTACTGTATGAGTTACTGAATCTTTTATCAGTTATCCTGTAGAAGCAACGATTGCAAGGCATTCGCATAAAAATATTACTGTAAATTTAAAATTTACAAAAGGCTTACAAAAAAACAGAAACCATGATAAAATATCCTGTGGATCCTATTTTTCATTTTTTAAATGATTGCATTGTTGTTTAAAAATTCTGAAATATTGAGTCTACAAAACTAAAGGCATGATAGGTGTTGTACCTTATGTTTGTCTATCAGGTTGTGCACCATATCCTTGTCTCCGCCTACAGGAACATCATCAGCTAGTTGGGGCTCTGCTCTGTACAGCCAGTCATTCAGAGCCTGCAGAGCGTCAGTGAATCGACCTGAGAACAGCAGGGCCTCCTCCAGCTTGTGTTGTCTGAGAGAAGCAAACAAAAACACGTTCAAATATGCTTGTATACAGTCACGTTTATCCTCATCAGCTGTAACACGGTGCACACCTCTCCATAGATTTCCCACTGATCGTGTCCCATGTGTCTTTGAGTTCAGCCAGCAGGTTTTCCAGATGCTGTCTGTCATGGCCGGTTTGAGCTCGCTCGTGAAGACTGCGCCCATTCTTAGATGCAGCGTCGTACATCGGCCTCTTTGACCTCAGTAGTTTCTGGAACTCCTAATTTTGTTAAAAAGAGTGATCAGTGACGACCTTCATAAATAAATTGTACACAAGTTCATTATGACGCCTTTGGCTGTGCTGCACCTTTTGCTCAGTCAGTTGTTGTTTGATCTCCTCGTGGGACACAGCGATCTCTTTATGTGTGTCTAACGTCTGCTCTACCTCCGTCATCCAGTCCACTAGCAGGCGCCATGATTCATTAAACTAAGATACAAGAAATAAAGGTATAAGTCACACTAAAGGTCCTCTGAGTAACACAGTAAAAAAATGTGAAGTTTTAGAAACATGGAGAGTTGATATGATGGCTTACTTGTTTGACGTTCTTTTTGACCTCCTCCAGCATCCTGCCTCTTTCCGCAGCCCGCTGCTGTAGCTTCTTGTAGCGATCCTGGACAGTCATGATCAGGTTATGGATGACATCACAGTCTTCCTTCCTGCTCAGCTCGGTTAGTCTACATGCTGTGTTCTCCACTGTGCTCTTCTTCTCACCATAGCCCTTCACCTCATTCACCAGTGTCTGTGTAAAAAGAAATGGTTCATATCAGCAAAAACAAAGACATAGAAATGTTTAAGTAACTCTGGATCTGATGGGGTTAAACAGTAGGTGTAAAAAGACCTACTCTTTGGTCCTGCAGCTGAGTACAAACTGTGTCCAGGACAAAGCTGGGAGCAGGAAGAAACCCAATAGACTCTTCACACTTGGTCATCTTAGTGAGAAGTTCCTGCACACTACTGTGAAACTCCTTGGACAGACTCAGCCCTTCTGTAAGCTTCGCCTATGGGAACAAATGACATTTAAAAAATTGCAATGATAACACAACACAACACAACACAACACGAGAAAGAGTTAAACCACCTTTCGCTCCTGGACTTTGCTGTAAACAGAGGCCCATTTCTGTTCGAGAATGGATAAGCTGTGTTCAGTGCTCGATCCCCGCACAACATCTCTGCTCTCCAGCATCCTGTGGATGGCATTCTTCACATCCGTGTAGGCGTGAAGCTTTGACTCCATCTCATTGCACAACTCCTTTCATAGGCGAGAAGAAGGAAGCCAGTCAGTTTTTTCATTTTCTTTGAGGAAATACTAAGTAGCAGGTTTTTTGTTTTGATAGTTAGAATTCTGGTGAGTTTTACCAAGTGTGCACTGAGCCTTTCAGCGGCAGAGTCCGGCATACTCCATATGATTTTAGAGGAGGACAGTCTCAGGTCTGTGTTCTCCAGCCACTGCAGAAGATCCTGAATCTCCATTGTAACATCTTGTACCTGCAGAAAAAAAAATTAAACAACAGATTAATGCAAAAATATTTGTTTGTGATGCATATATCAGCTACAAGAACCTCAGTTATTTTATATGCTCTATAAAAACGTTGACTTAAAGCTTCACATTATATGGTTTATATTTAAACTGATTTTCTTTATGATAGTTAATCCCACTGGTTGCAATTTGGACTTATCTCTTCATGCTTTTATGTTTACTGTTACAATCACCACAAGAGGGCTCCAAGATCAAAGTCAAAGTCAAAAGTCAACTTTATTGTCAATTTCAAAATATGCCAGACATACAGTGGAATCGAAATTGCATTTGTCTCTGTCCCACGGTGCAATACAACCAAAATAAGGTAAAATAAGATAAGGTAAAAATAGATCAAATAAAATGAGGTAAAAATAAGATAAATAATATTTACAGTAATAAATTCAAGATATAGCGATATAGTTTCAAAATACACTATAAATATAAAGCAAATATTGTCAATAATTCATTTTATAAGGACAGTTTTTCTTATGTCTGTAAATTCATTGCACTTGTTTCCGATGAATCTGATTTTCTCTCTTCACCTGACTCAGTCTGTTCTCTAACTCCAGCTGCCTGCGCTCAGTCTCGCAGCGGACAAACTCCCAGCTCTCATTCAGCTGCTCCAGGCGAGACTGCAGACCATGCGGGCTGTCCCCAGACCCGACCTCCAGCAGCCCCCTGCCTGCCTGGTTCAGGGTCTCCATCGTGCGAACGTGGGACATGACATCATTACGCAGTACCTTGGAGAAGTAGGAAGCAATTGAGGTCAGATATGCAAACAAGACACATTTTTACAAAAGTACAGTTTGGAGATGTTAGGAGCTTTAAATTGTATTTATTGTGCCTGGCAGGTTATATGGATCCATTTTTTTTGTTGGAGAAGAATCGAGAAGCATGTATAACTTGTGAAGAATATATTAACATAAATATTACAAAATGCACAAGCACTGTAGACACAATGTTGAAAGCTATCAGGAGGAAGAAGTTATTCAAGGCCAAGTGTTATCTGGCAGATACGCCAACAGGTCTTTGAGGGACGTGAGAAGTTTGAGTGCTATGACACTATGTAACAGAGCAGATTTGTGATGAGTACATATTTCTAAATTGAAGCCTGAACATTATGTCAAGATGTTTAGGGCAGCCACCTACCTTGTGTTTTGCCAGCTCTATTTCACAGGCCTGCAGGTCGATGCTGATTGGCTGGCTGCCCTGCAGTTGTTCTGCAGTCCTGGAGAGCCATGTGTGCAGCTCATCCAGTGTGTTTTGGAACTGACCCAGACCCAGCAGAGCACACTCCAGCTGATGCTGATGGCAGCACAGGAAAGGAGAAACATCAGTTTTACAGTTGGCCTGTTTGACATGTAGCTTCCATGCAGTTTCTACAGGGCCCTCATAAGTTCACATCATATTTAAAGAAATAACACTGACATTATGCATACGATGTGTTATGTTGGCATTACATAATGATATCTGCCAAAAACATATTTACCTGTCTGTTGACGGTCTCTGACTCCAAGCTGTCCCAGCGGTGTCTGAAGTCACACAGCGGTGAGACTGAACCTGGACGCTCTGAGCCTGGAGACAGTCGGCACACAAAGCGATGGTTCTGACTCTCTATCTCGATTTTCTTCTGGTAGAGCTCACGCTTAAATTCCTGAAGGGAGGCAAAACATGATAAGAGTTTGAATAATATATACCAGCTATTGTAATGACTGTTTTTGTCATTGGTCATCTGTATTGTTGAGTGAATTTACCTTGAGATCACAGAGCTGTTCTTTGACTGACTCCAGGTCAGGGCCAACCATAAACTCTTCAGTTGACCTCAGCTCAGCCGACTTCAACCACTCAAAAAGACCCTATTAAAAAAACAATAACAATGTTTGTATAAAAGCACAATAAGAATGCATTATACTGAGCCCTTGTTCCAGAGAGCCATGAATTATCACCATGTTATAGTAATTGGTAGATATGCTTGAGCTTGTGTCGCACTTTTGTAGTCTTCTGACAAGAAAGGAGGGCTGCAGGTCACACCTTCACATTCACACAGTGATGGCAGGCTGCTATGTAAAGTAGTATTAACTAATACAATACACATTCATACGCTACCGAAGCTACTTGGGGTTAAGTGTCTTGACCGAGGGCACATCGGACATTTGGCTGCAGAAGCTGGGGATTGAACCCCCGACCTGAGAGACGGCCGACTCTACCACTGATCCACAGCTGCTGCCCTGTGAGTGTCACAGTAAACAAAATGTTTGAACTGAATGGTCCAACGACTATTGCTGTTGGTGTATGGAGCTGGATTCATTTGACATAGTTTGTTCCTTTAATAATGTCACACAGTTTGCTCCTTTAATAATGTCACACGGTTTGCTCCTTTAATAATGTCACACGGTTTGCTCCATTAAAGGTATTTGCCTTTGGAAGGGGACCACACTGTCTGTCAGTCACACAAAAAAGCTGCAGGGAGTAAGTCTTAAACACTGCTACTCAAACAGAAAAAAAAGAAGCTTGTTAAAGTCTTTGGCAGGATGCCACAGCGCTGCATAAATCAGGCAGTGGCAGCTAATTTGAAATAGCTATGATAATGACCTAGAAATACTATTGAGTAAATGAGCATGCACGCATTATCCAAATGTTTTTGAAGTTTAAAAATTGAAACTTAACAGAGACACACAGTTTGGGCAGCAACAGGCTCTGAACCAGTTGCTGTCTGACCTTAAGATTCAGCCAAATCCCAAGGTTCTGTTCTGGTATTCTCACAAACAAACACACACACCACACACACACACACACACACACACACACACACACATTCAAATCTTATTATTGAACCATCTGCCTGTTCAGATAATGTGCCTTATCAAGTACACATCCTGTTGGCTGCTGCATCGTGTATGAAGGCACAAACCTGCATAGTGTCCTGATAGTGAAGTGCCATCTGCAAGGACTCCTCCAGCTTGTTGTGACATTCGTTCCACAGTTTGCTCAAGTTGTTCCATGTGCAATAGAGCTGTTAAACAACAAAATGAGTTAGACAATGCAATGTCATGAGTTGAAGAGGATTTCAATTCTATGTATTTCTTACTTCATCTAGGCTCTTTGTGACATCTGGTTTATCTGTATCCCCACAGGCTGACATCAGGTCCATTCCCAGAATGCCAAGGGTGTCCAGATCTCCCTGTAAACTGTCAATGTCCTCCCTGAGAGTCTAAAAGCATGAAAGGGTGAAAAGTGTTTTATAGGCTTTTTTTGTATAATAATGTGAAATTGTTATGTACTGTATGTCTCCAAACAAACCTGCATGGTCTCAAGGCTCTGGCGGATTGTTTCGGAGTCTGTCCGACTAGCATTGAGATCCAGAACGGCCTGCTGACCATCATTGAGAGCAGCTGTGACATCACTGACATCACTCCAGAACTTCAAGGCCAGATCCAAAAGTTTGAGCAGCCAGCTTTCCCTCTCCTGGGCCTGAGTGTGTGTCTCATCCCACAGCTGGGACAGGCTGGATACTCGCTCCTGGATGGCTAAAATCACAAATAAAACAGGAATTTGGCTCAGAATGGTCTTTCTCCAGTTGTTTGCATTTCTCTTTGTATGCAAACAAATAAGAGTACCTGTGCCAACCGATCCGTCACCGGCTGCCTGTGTGTTAGCCAGCAGCTCATCTGCCTGTGTCTTGATGCTGCCGAGGCCTGTCTCCAGCTTGGAAAGCTCAGCCAGGGTGTGTTTGTTGTCCTGCAGCTGCTCCTGGATCCTTGGGGTGAGGCCTTGAAGAGAGCTGGGAGTCTGTATGCGACTGCGCAGGCGGTCAAGACTCTCTCTGATAAGTGTCATCCTCTCATTCAGCTGTGGATTCAAGAAAAAAGATATGAGGGTGTGTGCTTTGGCATATTTGTCGTGTGTAAAATGTGAGGGCTATTTAGAACATTTTTTTGATTTGTCCAAGTGCTTTTTACCTGTGTGAATCGAGGCAAGGACTCCTCCAGCAGATTAGCCGTCTCTCTGACCCGGTCTCTGATGGCTCCATGTTGTTCCTCGGCCTCTGAAGCCTTTCGACAGAAATCCTCCCCCTGAGTGGGGTTTAGTTCTGATAAGCGTTTTGCTAGAGAGCATAAGCGTGCAATCAAGGGTCTATGTTCTGCTATAGACTCCCTCAGACCCTGAGCAGAGGAGAGAAACAACGAAAGCTTGTTAAATATTTCGAGAACACACTGTCTTTTAGAGAGAACCTGAGTTCATTTCAATTACTCGAAAGAATATAGGTTGCTGTTCCTTTAATGGCACACCTAACAATGCCGACACACCATTATAATACGACTGAAAAAGTATCCCTGTCAGGTTGTGGATAACATTAGGGAACTGCACTTAGACAAAACACCTTATTTACCCAGAGGAATAGTGGCTTACTGTGAGGTAAAAAGGACCTCTTTGTTGAAATGGACAAAAAAAAAAACGAGTGATAACAAAGAGAAAAGTGTAATGTGGAGAAGCAGGTTCCTTCTACCTGTAAGAGGTCCTGTTGTTCCCGAAAGGCTTCGTAGCTAATTGTGCTCAGGGAGAGCTGGCCAATTAGGGATTGAGTTTCTTGAAGCCAAGGCGAAACCTCAGCAAAGCCCTCTGAGAACTGGAGAAGAAGCGACTGAGCGTGCTCAAGCTGCAGGACCACATGGGAATTGGTGGCTGAGGTTGTGTTGCATTGTTCCTGTAAGGCCTCCATTGGTGTCTGCAGAAAAAAAGAAAGAACAACTTTTAGCACTGTTTTAAACTTTAATATCATTATATTAATTGCTTAAAATGAACTATAGAGAGTTACCCGCAAATCGCCTGTTTCTCCTTCATCACTGTATGTCAGCAAGATTTCACTGATCTTCACCATCTTCTCAATGTTGAACCTGTGTTGAAGAATCTCCACAGCCAAAATCTATTCAAGAGACAAAACATCTTGTTTAATTTAATTACAGTACAGACTTGAAATTGCTTTTTGTTTTTTTACAACTTTTTTTCATACAAAGATGGTAAATGTGTAGTTGGTTCATTAGTTAGTGAATTATATTTGCTGACCTTCTGTTCATAGAGTTGTTCTGCTATGAGCTCTGGATGCAGGTTGATGGATTTCAGCTTCTCAAGACTCAGTGCTGTGTCTCTGAACCAGGCCATCTCCTTTACCACTGCCTGCTCCAGCTGATGAGAATGTGCTAAATGTTAGTATCATAACAGCACAACAATGAAACATGACCATGTCACAATCACACAATTACATCACTTGGAAGCACATGCTACCATTCTGAGGAACAGTGAGGATGTAAAATGTTATTTGTGCATGAAAAGAAGACATTTTATAGTTTAATGTCCGGACACCTTTTATTCAAAAAAGACAATAGAATCAATTGTCAATGCCGTGTTCAGGATGAACTTTTAAAGAAAAAGTTGGAGGTTATCAGCAAAGGAAGACCTACAACCGTAAATGAAAGCTTTTGAGAAGCAATTAGACTTCAGCACTAACAAGTGATACCTGTCGTGGACTTCGTTTTCAAGTGACTGGATCATCATTGTTTTGGTAATGTAGGCCTACATTTTTCAGGCTAGCTGGAGCTAAAGCTTGCAAGCTACTTAACATGAAAGTTAACCTATGCTTCTAAAATCTTTGTTTTACCATTGCTTTTTCTGCCATTCAATGCAACGCTAGACTACATAGGATAATCAAAGCTTGCATTAGACATAATTGATGCTTTTAGTAAGAGGTAGCAAATATTTATTAGTTATTTTATACTTTTGTTGCTGATATCTACACCCTCTTTTGACTATTTTGCATTTAGCCTCCACAAATGTATCAAGTGTCACAGTGTTGGCTAAATACATTTAGATTTAGATGCATATTTATGAAATGATAGCACCTTTTGTCAGAGTCAGTTAAATTAGGCAGGAAATTATTTTTGGTTTATAAACATGGTGTTTAGCATAATAATGCATTTTCAACTTGTGTATGACAGACTTATTGTATTGTGTTTTGCAGATTTACCCTCTGTCTCTCAGCTGCACATAGTACTGAATCTCCAGCATGTGTCTGTGCTCCACCTGCCCCGAGGAGCTCCCTCTCAATGCGGCCCAGCCACAGGTGGAGGTCCTCCTGGCTGGAGGTACAGCGACTGGAGGCCTCCAGGGCCTGCTCAAGTCTTTGCAGCACATCCAGACTGCTTATACTTAGCACAGAGCAACGGATACGCAGGGAATCCATCTTCTCCTGTACCTGCTGGGATTCCTCCTCTGAAGCACAGGACAAAACGCAAACATTGGGAATATCAGAAGTAATAGGGTAACCAGTTTGCAGATATTGACAGTATTAAAATGTCAGACAGAGTTATAGGATATTGACATTTAGTATTAAATCAATTCTATTAATCAACATATTTGTTGGGAGACTTTTTATTTAAATTGTTTTTAACTGTTTTCGAACATTTCATACAGCTTGCATGAATATAGAACACATCTTCATTTGATAACATTAATAGATCAGATAGAGCAGAACATGTTAGAGTGCAAAGGTCTGCTTCTACTATCGGCAGTATTGGAGCGAAACATTTATACAACATAGGTTAAAGCCTTGTTTTTGTATCCCTCAATAACCTTAAATTGACGTAAGGTCATAAAGTGAAGTAAACCTTACCTGAAATTGCTCCCATGAGATCATGGGCTGACCTTTGTATTTTTCCTAGCTCCACAGTTTTTACTTGAATCTCTTCAACGACAGCCTTGACAAAGGTTAAAAAAAAAAAAAAAGTCACAATTTAATTCTCAGGCCAAAAAGCATTTGCTCTAATGTGCATGCAGTTGACCTATAAATGATACTTTTCCAACCTTGGCCCTATCTGTTGCTTCTGAGAGATGCAGCATCACTCTCTCTGCATTCCGTAGTTCAGCTAGAGTTTGCTCCACCGATATGAGCCATTGCTGTAAACTGTCTACTCCCTCCTGGAAGAGCTGGGCCCTGGGCAGAATGAGTTCCAGACACGCTCTCCTACCAATTACAAGACAGCCACAAATTGTTAAGTAAGATTGTAACATGGATTAACCTTTGCCAAATGAGAGTGTGGCATTGGCACTAAATGTATCTGACCTTTGTTCTGCCTCCAGCTGTAAAGCCTCCCATTTCTGTTGGAGAGCAGAGAGCTTGACCTTGGTCTGCTCCCCTTCCTCTCCTGGGTGGGCCTCCACCAGTCGAGGGCCCTCCAACATCATACAGTCCATGCTACGCCTTCGGTCTGTTAGGAGACGCTGCAAGAGCTGTAAAAGAACAGATTTGTTCATGAAGTTCAAAAGGATCATTACAGATGGTGGAGTCATAAATCATATTTAACCTTTAAACTTTGAGAAAAGGCAGACGTGTTCATTGTTTCAAGCCCCTTGTAGAGAACCTTTTGTTTAAAATCCAAAACATGTACAATGAGATGCCAGTTAAGGTCATTTGGTAGAGCAGGAGCCTAAGGTTCAAAAAGGCCATCAGAAATGTTTAAAATAGAAAAAGAAACATTTTTTATCTATACTACAGAAATAAATTACCTTTCACAAGAGGTTCAATTTCAAATGGCATTTCATGGTGCTAAGAGCTAACATTTATCAAAGCCCTATTCTTGTTTTTTCTGCACTTCCGATATTGTGGATAAGCCCTGTCTCATGTGACAAGCTTACATTGTCGCGAGTCAGCCAGGTTTCACCTGATTCAGAAGAACTCACAATGGCTGTGATTACAGCTGAGTGAGGTAGTTCCCTTTTTTTTCAGACCCTAAGGAAATGTTCACAATGACTTACTGACAGTGGTTGTGAACGCCACCCATCCACAAAAAAAAATAACTGAGTTAAAAAGAAAGCAGTTGAGCATTTTCCATGACCCGCAGCACACTTTTCAAAAGCTGAACCAATCAGGTGTATCCCCCAAGAATAGTGCTCAAAAGAATTTTTCTTTGCAGACTAGAAATGAAGTGAGGTGATGTAATGTCGGTGATAACAGACCTTTTGTTCTTGGAGCTGTGCTTTCACCACTTTGACCTCTGAAGATGGTGGTTTCTGATTTGCTGTGAGCTCTTCAATCTCACTGACCCATGTGAGCAAAGCTTCCAGGTTTTGGAGAAATGTGTCAGAATCTGTGGACGCATCCCTCAGTGCCAAGGCAGATCTCGTTCCCTTGAGATGGACCATTGAAAAGTATTAGCTGAGAGGTATTGATGAATGGAAAGACATTGTTCCAGGTGAAACATGATCAGGTTAACTTTACAAGCACAAGGGGGGAAACGATGGGTTCAGGGTTAAAGCATACCTGCCATCTATCCAGACTGGATTCTTGGTCTGAGCTTGAGTGCCCATCACTTTGGAGCTGCAAAATGAAGACAGACTAGTTTCAATTTATTGAAACATTCTTTTAAAAAGATTTACTGTCAATGCCATGGGTAGGAAACATGAGGAAAGGTAAGAATGTTAGGGTCAGATGTTGAGAGGAAAGAATGGATTGAACACATGAGATTAGACGTGTTTGAAAATTGGTGATTTTGGTTAACCTCTGCCAGTTCCTTAGCGGCACCATTTAGGACTCTAACAGTTCTTGTAACAACGGGGTCCCCTCCTTTATCTCCAGATGGATATTCGGTAACTTCCACAATCTCTGTCACGATCGTCTCTGTCACTTCCGTCACTTCTGTAACCTCTCGTGATGCCAACGTCTTCCAGGACCAAGGGCTTCCTTCTCTGGAGTCTCTTCTCTGGAAGCTGGCCCTCCTCTCCGCTGCACTCTTGTCGAGATGAGCCAGGGGGGATCTGGCAAACTCCGGGGCCACTGTTCTCCTTGTGAGGGTCCCATTTCGGGATGTTTTTATTGGAGAAGGGCTGCTGTGCCAGGCGTTTTCCAAAGTACTGCTGCTCCTGATCGTAGAGGCTGGAGAACTCCTGAGGGGTTTGTCGGAAATGGGAGTTTGAGTCCCCTCCTCCCTTTTAAGATCAATTTCCTCTAACTCCTTGTCGCACTCTGACTCCGTTTCCTTGATTGCATCCTCCTTTGTATTTTCTTCAACAGCCACTTCGGGTTTGGCCTCTACATGCTGTTCCTGGGGCTGCCACTCTCTTCTTCGTTGGTAACACTCCTTTAGGAAGGCCTCGTCTGACCTCACGTGTTTGGACTTCTGGCCCAGGCAGCTGGGCCGGCTGATGAGGTTACCCATAATCCTTCAGCCCAGAGGCTAGTGAGGTAACAGGTGAGGTAAGGCCCCTTGGCCATGCATGCAGAAGATCCTTCAGCTACCTAAAATAAGACAAGGGGGCTCTGGGTCATCATGCAGTGAAAAGGTGCTCATTATGTACATTAACCAAACATATCATTGCTCATTTTTCTGCTTTTCAGTAACTGTGCAGTATTAATTGCAACTGCTTCTATCTTCAGATAACTCCTATGATACAAAATGTTACCAGTTTCTCACATTTTTTACTTGCCAAATCCATGTGCCAACATTGCCCTTTTCCTGCCACTGATAGATTACAGCGAACTACAGCAGAGATACTTGGCCCGGACAGTCGCTGTCCCTTTGTTTTTCTTTTGACCACATACACACATGCTTCCCATCTATCTCACATCACCCACTTAAATATTCTGGGCTTAGAAATCAATGTGACAGGCTTGTCGAGGATCCCACTGTTGAGCCTGGCACAGAGTAGCGGTGGCAAAAGGCCAGCATTTTCTCTAACTTAGCCTGGACCAGTCCTGGGAAACCCGCTAAGAATCTGATCAAATATGACAGCCATAAAAACGCCTCATTTCTTTTTGGGTGACAATAAAAGGAGGAGGTTTGAACACAGGGTGGCATGGCGGAAGTTGGGGGGAGGGTAATGAAAACATACACCAATCAACAAAGGCACCTTAGTGTGCAGACTAAAATAGTGGTTTTCCATTATGAGATCGAATTGGAGCTTGCAGGCCTCTCATCAACACCTTGTTGGAGCAGTACATTACTGAAGAGACTCTGATTGGCAGTGACAATTTCAAACTGTGTCAGCCTGCCTGCTCCCCTCTCAGCACAGTGCCTTCATTGCTTTGACATAAGGGTTAAAGGTGAATGTAATTATCTTGGTCTTGAGGAGCTGAGGTGAGCCCATCAGGAGATCACAGGGAGGGTCCCTGTCCTCTCTCTGAGGCGAGGTTGGACCACTCCATTCATAATTATACAGGTCACCTCAGGTCATGCTTGGTGACTAAAGATCTGTTGAGGGGCACTATGGGTGGACACAGAGGCCATTGGGATGTTGGCTCTACAAAATACTGAGAGAATTCTCTTTGGAGCTTGCTCAAAAATTCAGAAGAGGTGATCTTTGGGTTCAATCACATGCTGCAGTCAGGCTGTTGGCAGAGAGAATTATGCTGAATAAGCAGCTCTTTTAATCCTGCCAGAGGTTAGACACAAAGACAGTCTGTAACCAAGGAGAACTCAAACTGTGCTGCTTTCAACATGCATGTCATTTTTGAAATAAATCAAATCTCATTAGTGTGTCTCCCAAGTATGAAACTAATCATAATTAACATACACCGAGGCTCTTAACTAAATGAGACTAGAAAATGACCTAGTTTGATATGATGCCTTCATGTGCATTAGGCTAGTAATTACCAACATCATGCAGGTCTCTGCTGAGCAGATGATGCAGTCAAGAGAGATCCACAGGGGAGCTCACAGTCTGATCAGAGAGTGGTGCCCAGACAAAGCCTCAGACTCCAGATCAATGATTACCCAGTTAGCTCAGATCACTGGCCAGCAGTCTCCTGAGGAGAGCAGAGAGAGTGCCTGTGGCCGTGTTCACATGGTTTAACAATTCAACAAGAGGGTGTGCCGTGTCTGGTTACTTCTTCATATGTGTGGTTGTTAGCTGGATTACACGTTTGCCTCTACAGTGATTTCAGTGCAATGTACAGTAAGCAAGAATATGCTGAGTAGGCTGATTATGGAGCACATGGTGCACTGCGAGGGGAATATAATCAGACATGAACATGCAAATGTACGATTATTATATCTACTAGACATGGGGGCGCTCAGACACTAATATACACCCTACTTTTTTTTAAATTAAGCATTAATCACATGAAAGAGTATTATAAATCCCATGACCTACATTCTTCTACTATCAAAGCGCACAAGGAAAGCCCCCTCAAAATGCCTCAAGCCCGTGTTTGATGTGCACCTCTCTCTTTCTAGTGTAATGGTTCAAGAGGGGGAACCAGGGAACCAGAGAACCACTCCACCGTTTACCTCATACTGCCAATGACCTAACCATCCCATCACTTAACCTATTTCCAAATGGCCCTTAATTCAGCCAAGCCCTTTCCCTGCACTCAGCAGTGATTTATGATACACGACTGCAGTCCATTTCCTGATGAATTTGATTACAACCAAGGTATGGGGGCTTCTTTTGTGGTATGTCGAAATATAAAATAAAATCCTGCTGGAAGGAAGCAAATACTTAATTTCCAATCTGATTCTTATATGAATCTTAATTTGGAGACTTGTATGCTATCCCCTTACATTTTAAAATATCCATACAGTATATACTCAAGATCAAATCTTAATCGTATGTATTGCACAATTGAACCATTTATTTCAATTCAAAATTACATTATCAAAATTTTCAAAAATGTCTGTATTTGTATGAAATAGGATTGTAATTAGTAGAGGAACAATAATTATTAATCACAACAGTAGAGCCCCATCATGTTGTGTCACTGCTGTTTGTCTGCCTCTGTTAAGGGAGGTCCTGAAGTAACAATCATGATAGTGGTCCCTAATCAGAGATGGCAGCTGTGCACTCACTCACCCATGAGACTCATAACATTTTAGGCTGGATATTGTACAAGGTCACACATTCATCCCAAAGACAGCCTTCTAAAAGTGAAAGAAAAGGCAATTTCATACAACCAGGTGTCAGCATGGTTGTAGCAAAGCTATTCAAATAATGTGCTTTTGTTTAAGATATGCTCGTGTGGTTTTAATCTTTTAAAAAAAACACTAAGAATTTGTTTACAAAGAACAAACTATAGAATATATAAATATATACTTACATGTAAACTTATCCATTCAAACTCATGATGTCTTTAAGTGTTTCATTGCCAGCTGCACTTGCATTTTTCACTTCCAATGAATTTAAGAAAAAAATAATTTAATGTCACATGGCTCCCTCAAATCACTGACCAGCAAAAGTCCCAAACCAAACTCTCCCTGAGCCAATCCTGGCTAAAAGGCAGTTTTGGCGGTTTGAAACTCACGAGAAACCACACTTACCCCTGAAGCACAGTTGAGCCAAACAGCACGAGTAAAGGAATCCAGCCAGTCCTCAATCACCATTCAAAAAAAGGGGAGCAAGGGGGGGAAATCCAGCTTTGTTAGAGCATCCTTTGAATGGCCTCCCAGCTCCAACATCCCAAACTGAAGGCTCCTCACAAACACATATTCAAGCATACTTTCTCCAACACACACTCAATCACACATGTCCACATGCAAACACACTTTCCAAACACTCTCACACATGCCCTGATAACTCATGCTTTTCCGTTGCCCACAGTCACAGGCAAACAATGTCCTCCTCTCCCTTCACGGTGCACCCCTCCCCTCTGCTCACTTCACTTCTCCTCCCACCAGCTCTGCTCCTCTCCCTTTCTTCTTTGTTGTGGGAGCTGTGATAGAGGAATTCCCTCCTTGTTAACGCCGCCGATGGGATAGTGCGCCCAGATGGAGACAATGTATTCCAACGGCTCAGTTGAACTCCCACAGTTCCCAGCCAAGAGCAGTTTTCACATGGAGGTCAGATTGTCAGCCTGCTCCATATAAAGACAAGGCGGTGGCATTCTCATCAGTTCTGCAGCTCAGGTTGCTCCTGTCCCCGGCAAGCAAGGCGGCAAAGTGCCCCCTTTTACCTTCCCCAGGCTTTTTCTCTCAATCTCTCCCTCTTCTTATCCAACAAAGCCCCTCCTCTGGGTCTGACTGTGGCTCAGAAAACTCCATGCTGCTTCTGCTTGAAAAATGGGATGGGTGGGGGGATAAAAAAAAGGAGAGTTTTCTAAAGACCCCCGGGCCGCCCCTTGGAACATTCCATGTTAAGTGACAGCTGCCTTAGCCCTTTCCCTCTCTCGATGGCGAGGAGGAGAAGTGCAGGCTACAAAAGAAGGTACCCACACCCACCCTTCTTACCCACCCACTCACACATTCACCCCAACCCCCTTGCTGCCCCCCCCTTCCCCATTCAGAGCAAGTGCAGTAGTCTCCACAGCAGCAACAAAGACGACTAATTACTGTAAAACATCTCAGATTACTTTTCAACTCACTTCCAGCCATTGCAAACTCCGTCCCATAAACAAAGAGGCAGGAAGAAACACACACACACACACACACACACACACACACACACACACACACACACACACACAGAAGTAGAGAGAAATGTGAAGATAAAACAGAGTCTTTTCTCTGCGTTTGGCATGGAAGGACCCCTATGGGGAAATTCTATCATTCACTATTTCAGTATGTCACAATATTTGCCTTAGAAATGCAGACCACCAAGCATGCATGCAATCTCCATTACACTAAAATTACACATTTTCTGGGGTTTCAACTTAACATTTGTATTTTTCAGGTGTATATGATTTGATTTAACATATGAGCAAATTGATGAACACAAGTTGTATACAGGTGCAACCAACTGAAGCATGCTAGCAGGTGACTCTCACAGTGTTTATGAATCCCTGAATCCTACCCTCTTTATTCTGTTCTTTCTTGTCTTTGTCCAGCCAGCCAAATGATCAAGCAATCGACTGATCTGCCGAATGCGTGCATGCATGTACAGCACACACCCACACACTCTCTCTCACATTGTCTGGCGTATAAACACACACATGCTTGCACATACCGGCGTCCTTCCAAAATCTGCAAGGTCACATAGCATTGTGAGTTTTTAGGATTTGTTGTTTTGGAAAAGGAGCCTTACTATTGATGTATTTGTTGCTTTACTTTTTATAAATAAGATGCATTTTTGCCTGCGTTTCATCTCTTTGCCATTGCTTCCAGGGATGCTAATATCTACTGTGAGTGGGAGGAATGTGTTTCACTGCTTACATTCCATTGTGTATATGTACATATATCCCCTCATAAAATATCATAAAATCAATAGCACTCGCTCATGTAGAATGCCT